AATTCAAGATCTTGGCACAAGATAATCACATTATCTTGTACCTAAATTTCCAAGATCTGTTCACTTTTCTGTACCTAAGATCTTTTCCAAGATCTTGCTTACAAGATGTTCGACTAGGGTAGATGTCAGGATAAATCGTGAGCGTAGTTTTTTTTGCTTTAATATTTTATTAGAGAATGAGAAAAGAAAAACATCAGTTATTGCTGTTCGATTGTGCAAGACCGATCAATATTTATGCACGTTTATATATAAACAGTTAAAAATTGTTACATAGAGATTAAAAATAGTTATCTGATGTCTAATCATTTGGTTCCGTCTCTTGCGACATTCCCAACTGAAATAATTTATCGAATTTTTGATAATCTCAATGCAGAAACAATTTTATCATCATTTCGTTGTACATGTCGACGATTAAAATCACTTGTTCACAATTATGATAGATTTATTTTGAATTTTGTACGAATATCAAAAGTTAATTTTGAATTAATTTGTCGTTTAATTAATCCTGAACAAGTAATTAAATTGATACTTAGTCATGAAGAAAAAACATTATTTCAAATTGATTTATTTATTTCACATTTTGAAAATAAATATTTTAATCGAATTCGTTCATTATCTTTACTTGGAATTGATGAACGTCACTTGAAGTTTATCTTAAAATGTATCAATATTAATTCTCTTAATTCATTTTCACTTGTAATCGAAAAATCTGATGAAAGATACAAAAAATCAACAGCAACACTTTTATCATCGATAGTTTCTCAGAAAAATCTTCGTCGATTAGAATTTGAAATTCCACCACGATTAATCCCAAGTCCAACTTGGCCTGTTCAATCTATGATTCAATATTTAAGAATTGGTGGATGTACACATTTCTATCCATGTACTATTCTTCAATGTTTACCTATGTTAAAAACAATCTCTGTAAGTTTTCGAAGATCAGAAAATCATTATATTGTCTTAGCAGATGCTTCAACAACGAAATTTACACAATTAAATTCATTGAGTTTTGAAAATTTATCTACAAAAATTGAAATACTCGAATCATTACTTTTATTAATACCTTCGTTGAACCATTTTAAATTGATTGGCAATGGAAATTTCCTTGATGGTAATCGATGGGAACAATTCATTCAAGTAAATTTACCTTTTTTGAATAAATTTGAATTTTATCTTGAACAAACTCGAGATATTGATTATAATCATACAGATATTGAATCAATCATTAAATTATTTCAAACGCTTTTTTGGCTCGAATATAAAAAATGGTTTGTTAAATGTGAATATAAAATTAATTTACCACGATCAATTTTACTCTATTCAATTCCAATTTGTATTTCTTCAATGATTTATCAAATAGAATCAACAATAAATTCTCTCTCTACTTATGATATAAAATATGATAAAAATCTCTCAATTATGAATAATATTAAAACAATTCAAATAGATTTTTCAAAAATATCCTTAAATAATATTTCAAATCAGGTAATTATCAATCTTAATATTCAAATCTTTTTCGATTTAGTTTAGAATTAAAATATAATATTTCAGAAATTTTAATATCGAAATAACCAATTTTCAATTGTTTCAATCTGTTGAAATCATAGAAAATAAAGGTCATTCGATAAAAGAAGAAAACTTTTTTTTGTGTACTCAAAAAGTGAGTACACTCTAGAATCGGTCAGTATGTCCTGCCGGCCGTTTACACGATAACTTTCGAAAGGAGAGTCAGATCACGATGAAATTTTCTATACAGTTCAACCTTGAAAATATCTCGGTCGAGAGAAGAAGATGAGAATGATCCGTCGAGAAATGGCTGAGTTATCGAAAAAATTGTGATTTTTGGCCAGACCATCCCTGAGGAGGGGTACGGGGATTTTTCGAAAAAAAATTTTTTGGTCGTAATCATTCACAAAATACATCAATCGACTCAGTTTTTAACGCTGATTCTGAATCTGATATTAGTTTTGAATCGAATCATAGTTTTGTGTACTCAAAAAGTGAGCACACTGTAGAAAAGTCACTGTGTCCGTCTGTTCGGTTGGCTGTTTACATGATAACTTTTGACAGCAGAGTCTGATTGCGATGAAACTTTCTACACAGCTTTGTCTTGACAATATCTCAATCGAGTTTGAAGATGAGAAGGATCGGCCGAGCC